ATGAGTAGGCTCAGTGATTCGAAGCTATATTCATATGGTTTAAATTTGGGTCACCGAACTGATTTCGTGGTTCGCCTGTGAATTCGTTCCAGCGTATTATTTCTCCATTGGGGTGAGAAAGTAAACACTATATTTTTATACTTTAAGTGGGGTCTAATAAGACTGCTGAAGTTTAAGTGGAAAGGTGGACCGTTGAACTGACCGAAAATGAGACTCAACGTTACGAGTGCAAGGTTTGCACGAAAGGCATTTTTGTCTCAATTAGAGTAACACACCAGATCACAGGTTACTAACACCGCTGGATTTTTTAACTTGTGATACCTTCAGAGGGAAGTTATCTAAGTTGCATGCGTAGTCTACAACATATTTCAGATGAACTACTTCGCACCTTAAAGTGTTGTAAGTAATTCCAACCAAGTCTGAAGATGACCAAGATCTTCTTGAAATGCCAGCTTATCAACTTGTTGGTAGAAATTTCTCGAAAATTCAGGTTACTCAGACATAAAATGAACCCATCTGTTATCAGTGAATTGATACCTAACCGTTTGAACTTATATGATTGACCCTATCAAAAGCTTTTAAGAAACCAAGGTATATGACATCAAAATTCTTCTTCAAGGGTGGTTGTCCGTATATCTACCGTGGCCAACAGGTTGGTTATACAGAAAAGACCCTTCCTGAAACCTTGCTGTTGGGACGAAAGGAAGCTTATGGATAACAAGTAATCACATAAACCAGCGTGTATCAAGGACTCCATAAATTTTAAGGATATCGAAAGAAGTGCTACTTGCCTGTGTTGAGCTCCTTTAAAAGTTGCTGCGATGTGCGTCAGCTCTGTATTTTATAGCACAGTGCCTCAGTTTAGCGATTTTGCGGTTTTGCCAAGACTGAAGCTGCTTCCTTCAGTATATGAGGATGAACAATATCTAAGCTATGAGAAATTTGACTTTTTTAGATGCTGAAGTTTTTGATACATCAAGTCAGTGCTCAGCTGTTGATACATTTTGTATGCGACAGCTTTAAAATATAGTCTTGTCAAAATCTCAGTATCGTCACAACTATTGTTGGTTATTCCATTGGGACCTAAAAACTGGGAAACTTCAGTTTTATGTTGTCGAGAGGGCGCATGATGTAATGAGCTTTTCGGATTATAGATAAATTGACTTTATTTGATACTGAAGCCTGTCTTTTATCTCCATTGTACATTGGCTCCTTGCTTTTCAGAATTACCTATGTGTTCTTTGTTGTTGCTAAATTAAATTTCGCCCAGCTGTACCTTTTGAGTCTTGTCATTCGAAAAGTGAGATGCTTTATGACTGTGTGTAGATACAGGGCAGCTCCACTAACCATTTCTGTGTTTCTGTTGCAAAATACAGATATACAGAGTATTGTGAGCCACTTATCCGTATATTGAGAAAATACCTATACTTTAATATTTCTACCAGATGAGTATTATTGGCACTATTTAGTTCACGCAACCCACCCATTGTGTTTGGTAAACTCGCAGCGTTTGTGTGCAAGTAGTTTATGCATTCTATTTGAGATATATGAGCGCTCTCACCCTTTTCATCTGAGTGAGTTTTATGTGAATGTACATGCAACATACTCGCCCAGGGGTTTTCAAGTTGTTCGCCTATGTCTTTTCCACGTTTTTTCTCCTTTTCTTGACAGTCCATTAGAGGAAAAGCCGGACATTTGCTTATGTGCCTAGTCTTTGCATCATGTGGCCTTTCTGGATGTATGTGGATTCTAGTTAGTAACTCATATCTACTGACACGAAATTTTTTTTAAATGTCAGCCACCAGTGAGGAGGATAGGGAGGTTATCTTTAGTAGCCGAGACCTTGAATATCCGTCTTTATTGGTTTATCACACCACACGTTGGAACAGTCTATTCTTCAACTTCAAGGACGGCTTTACGAACTTGAGATTTTGAATATCGTAGTCTGGATAACCAGTGTACGTGTTTTCTGAGACACCTTGCAGAACAATATATCTTCCGCAGAGAAACGTCTCGTGAGATTCCTTCCGAATGTTAGCATTCTTATTTACAAACAGCTTATTGTTATGTGTTGTAAAAAAACGTTTCGTGTTTCTTTGATTAGAAGTATTCGGATCATTATTCAAACTAGGAATCCCCAAAATAACACAACTTAAGTCATGTAGAACCAGGTGAGCACAAACGAACGTATTGTATTTGGAATTTAAAATCAGACATACATCGGATAAAAAAGAATCATTAGTTCATACAAACACCACAACCGCTACAGCTTGAATTTGAATTTAAGTTTCTGTAACCAACTGGACGTCTTCTCCTTAGGTTCATTGTATGCCTGTTAGACTATGTATTGGATATAGGCTCTGTATGATCTCCAATGTACTCATTAGTATTAGAATTACCAACCGGAAATGGAATAGACCCACCTGGGTCCTGGAATTGTATATGGTCAACATGTTGGTTGTGTACTAAAACCACTGATATCTAGAATTTAAACCATAGATTTACCAACACTATCCTCTCCCGCGAAATGATGCTGGATCTTCATATCATTAAATTATAAATAAAATGGCCTCATTTAAAACATATTTCTCACACTGACTAGAGGATAAACAACAGTTGATATGAAATCATCCAAATGGTAATCAAAATTTAGCTTATTTAATACTCGTGCACCGCATTGGACAAGATTCTCACGGGAAATAAAGGCATTACAAAGATAAGCAACATTTGATCTGACATCATCGGGATTCGATTCGTTTGTAATATTTTCCTCAAATTTATTAAGTATGTGATTGGAGAATAATGGATCACCAGATAAATCAGCATCTGTCTGCATTTCATAGGGTTTTCGATCATGATTTCGTTCATTCAACATATACTCCTTGGATTTATAAGAAATTTGATAAGAAATATATGGATCATTAGTACAAACCATATCTGGTACAATAACATGAGAAATCCGATAATAAGTTGATTGCCTAAAAGCTTTAGTCTCACAATGATTCTGATTTGATGCACTTGTATTCCTTGTGTTGCTTCAATTATCTTCTGATAACGAGTCTCTCCAGCTTTTTCGACAAATATCGCATGAATTATATGTTTGTTTTAGCTGAAGTTCAACTTCAGAGTTATGCGAGACTAGCAAGGCTTCATTTAATTGTGGACTGCTATTTGACTTTACACTGCTCTTCGATATCGTGTATAAGAACGAATGCTCATTAGAAACACTCAACTCAATATGATTGAAATTACAAAATTTGGGATTACTTCCAAAGAAATAAACAGTATGATTACGATTTGCCTGTATGTGTACGATTTTACCACATCTAAAGCACTTAGCATTACGAAATACACATGAAATGAATGAGTGAAACTTGCTATAATGCAAATATCGACCGAACGTGTGCTCATCTTCATGGTCTGTTTCGCAACTCCTCAATGAATTGTTATCGTCATAACCTTGAGTACGCACCGGATTGGTATGATGTATTAGTGTAGTGGAATTTTTGATGTCCTGACGAATCATTTTATGAAATTTTCCTCCTTTACTGCATTCGGAATTTGTACACTTAACATGGTCTGGTAGTAGTTCCTTGAGAGTTGTGTAGGAAAGTGAAATTGGCTTATCTGGGAATGACAAAGATTTTAACAAGCTGTATGGTTCTTTTCCGAATAATGGAAAGAAATGATCCACAATATTAGCATCCTCAACATCTTTGGTCGTAGTCCAGATTTCAAACCTTTTCATATAATGCTCAAGAGAATCAAAATTTGAAATTATGTCCAACTGTTCCATCACAGACTCTATCGCTACACCAATATGGTAATTAGGAGTATTTGAATTATTATTAAAATTAGGAATCCCCAAAATAACGCAATTTAGGTCAGGTAGAACCAGGTGAGAACAAACGAATGTATTGTATATGGAATTCAAAATTAGATACATATCGAGTACAAAAAATTACTACTTCGTACAAACACCACAATTTCTTCAGGAATGCAATTATACACAAGTTTCAATAATGTTTGCATAATATTTACCTTATTCAGACAGTTTATGGAGAATTTAGAAAAAACATTGAGTTGACTTTAAATAAAAAAGAAAAAAATAATAAAGGAAAAAAGAAACATATAAATTACTTAATGAGCGTGTTTTTGAATACAGAATAAGAATAAACGGTAATGTGCGTTACCAAATGAATAAAAAGCATCAGTAAATAAAAAATAATGTTCATGATGAGATGGCTCTCAAAATATAGTATATTAGGCAATCTCCTTACATCTGATTTCAGCAAGTGACTGACCGGGAGGACATCTTCTACTTCAACAGTTTTAGTGATTCGTGCACGATGGAGTTTCAGATAACTTAGCTGTTTGCTATCCTTCCGTTGGGTAAGTCTTATAAACATTAGTGGCTCAATTTTGAGGATACTGAGCTTTTTGTTTCACTCTGCCCAAAGCAAACTTTGATCTTACTACTAAAGACAGAAAATGCCGGGGCCATCTTCAAAGTTCATGATTACAAGTTTGATATAGTATTCCTATCAGAAAGCATACTCAATTATTTTTATACTACTGAATAAAAAATTATATTATTTTATTCAAAGGTATCAGATTTTCTATATTTTTTTGAGGGGATATAAAAGTACGACCTCTCCATCTACAATGTATGAACTACCAAAATAAAGCAACCGAAAATAGTGAAAGAACATTTTTAATTTTTGATTATACAAAAATAAAGGAAAGCAGAACCTAGTCAATAAATCGTGAGTGATTAAAATGTATCGTTACATGTTAATAGGGATTTTTAAATGATTGAAGTAATTTGCCATATATTTTTTAGGTATAGTCAGTTATAAGAAAAAGCTATTGTATTTTACCATTATAAAGTTTGCACTCAACAACTATGTAAATTTTGATAGTGTAATAAGAAAACGAAGATTATCAGATCTATGTGATATATTAGCGCAATACATTCCAATCAATCTGATTGGTCATATACTTGTTAAGTACATTTAAATACAAAATTAAAACATCAACTAGACAAATGGAGGGTAAGAGAAGACAAGCATAATCAAAAATATAATGTAAAAATAATCACTATGGATAATAAGCTTAAGTTTAAGGTGAGAACGAACTATTTTTTAAATACATATTGAAGGCTAGAATTTTCGTATAGCTAAGGCTTCCATAAACTTTAGTATACGCCCTTTTACACTTTTGTACAACACCACAAAAGCCGTGTTAAGATCAATCTTATAACATGTTTCGACTATATGTTTGGAAATAGGAGATGATGAATGTTTACCCCCTATTGGGTCATTTGATTTTGTTTCTTCAACTATTTAGGTACATACTCAGATACTTTAATTTTTAGATCAAGGTTACTCCTCCCTATGTATGTGTAGCCACACACACACGCACTGAGATGTGACGCAATCATTTTCATGTCCTTTAGGTTTTCGATGAAGTATAGACCTTGTTCGAAATGTATTGCGCTATTATATCATATAGTTCTGATAATCTTTGTCTTCTTATTACACTATCAAAATTAAGTAGATTTTATCATACTCAGTCAAAAATAGAATGTTTCCGATCGAGCAAGGGTTTATCAAACAAATTTATTTATTATTGCGGTGATTTGATATGAAATTTGTTTTCAATCAGATACAAATAACGATATCTTTATTACAGGGAATGTATGAGAAATAATAGTAATGCATAGTATGAAATAAATTTACAAAGCGTATTAATGATTTTTATGTCAATCATACTTTTAAAAAATTGATGTTATTATTTATTTACATAGGAACTTTATTATTAATTAATTATTTGACTACCTTCCACCCAAATTGCACATATATTTGTACATATACACAACTACTTATTCTATTAGTCAATCTGATTTACTATTAGTATAACCATGTTTTGTCCCATGTAATGTATGTTGCATTTCGTGTAAGGTATATAGAAGAATCAATTAAAATAGATCTCATACAACCCCTATTCTTCCTCTCCCTTTCTTTTAGTTCATATTTGCTTACCTGTTTATAACTGAATAATATATATGATTTACATTTTTAGAAAACTTGATATTTTGTTGTTGTTTTTTTTTATGTTGAATAATCATGACGGATATGACTGGAAAACAGAATGTTGAAAATTTTCTCTCTAAATTTCGTGATCCACAAACTCATCGTTTTCATTCAGTTACTGCATTAGACTTTCTTAAATGTTGGCAACATTACGATACAGATGGAAATGGTTATTTAGAAGGTGAAGAATTAAATGGATTCCTACGGGAATTCATCACTAGTGTAATACCTGATGAAATCGGCAGTGAAATAATATCGGAAACAGCAATGCAACAATTAATGACAGAAGTTATGGATGCATACGATGAAAATAATGATGGACGCATTGATATTAATGAATTATGTCAAATATTACCTACTGAAGAAACATTTCTAGCTTTATTTCAAATAGATACTCCATTATCTTCCAGTGTGGAATTTATGCGTGTATGGAAACAATTCGATACAGATTTAAGTGGTTCAATTGATTCAAATGAATTAAAAAATTTCTTGAAACATTTAATTATCATTTCAAAAGTTGAAGTAACTGATGAAAAATTAGATGAATATACAGAAACACTAATTAGATTATTTGATCGTAATGGAGATGGTAAGTTACAATTAAGTGAAATGGCAAGATTATTAAGAGTAAAAGAGAATTATCTTATTAAACCATTATTTAATAATAATAATTGTTTAGATGAAAGAACAATTGATAGAATATTTAGAAAATATGATACTGATAATAATGGTGTATTAGAAAATGAAGAATTAATGGGATTTTTAAAAGATTTATTAGAAGCTAATGGTGAAGAAGTTAATGAAGAAGGTTTAAAAATTATGAAAGAAGGTATTTTAAAACAATGGGATATTAATAAAGATGGTAAAATTGGCCGACAAGAAATTAATGATTTGATTTTACAAACAGTTCATATATTACAAGAAAAAGAACATTTAAAGAAATTCAATAATTTATAAATAAACTGGTTAAGAATTGTCCTATTGTTTTGCTTCTCTTAATTAATTTTGCTTTCTATTCATTAACAATAATAATAACAATAATAATTTATCGATGCAGTTTTATTTGTGACGAGAAAAAAAAAGAAAAGAAAAAAGAAAATCACAATAAATTAATTCATCTAGCCAAATAATTATCTTTTGTTTATTTTGACCGTTTTCTTACAAATAGAATGTAATTCTTAATAAATGAATGTTGTTATTTCTATATATATATATATATATATATATATATATATATATATATATATCCATTCAATTCACATCAGAGAGTGATTCCATGTTGATTAAGTTACGTTAAACACTTATTCATTCTGAAATAGTTCATAGAATATTGAATTCTTGATATTCATTAGAATGATATAACTCAATAATTCAGTGATTATAAGCCGTAATCTTGATATAAAACAAAATGTAATAAAATTCAAAAACCTAATCATAGTGTTAATAATTTATTATTATACCTAATATGATCCTGTTTCACAGATTATTTAAACTTCTCATAAATCTTAAAAATTAACTTATGTAGTAGGTCTTTTTTGATGTTTAGTAAAACATATAAAAAAAAACAAATAAAACTAAGAATATTAGTTAAATAAATTTTTTTGATTTTTAAAAATGAATAAAAAAAAGTAAAATAAGTATAAATGAAATCCAAGTAAAATCAATAGTAAAGATTGAAATTGTATTTTAGCTAAAAATAAACTGATGCATAGTATGTGATAATAAATAAGATCACATTTTACTCAATCTGTATAATAAAGTTATATATATGAGATATATTTTCACAATGTACAATAACATTATGATTCAATCATTTCATACATAGTGATTAGTTTAAAACAAAACAAAAAAAGAGAACAAAAATAATGATATAAACTTTCAATAATATATTTGCTTTGTATATAATTGTTTCAACCATATATTTAAAAAAGAAAACTTATATATAGTATTGTTATACTTAAGTTTCCTTTATGATGATATAAGAATTTGAAGTAGAGTTAATTTTTTATTTTCATGAAAGTCTATATAGAATATGTAATTCTAATGTATATTTATAATAATGATACTGGAAATCGGTTTTGTAAACAATTATTTATTTCAATAGTTGAAATCATGAGTCACTTGAAGCTAGAACATAACAGAAAACTTGGAAGAACTGGACGGCCGTTTCATCATGAAGACACTCGTGACGGTTGTTCAACTTCGTGGATTGGTTGAAGTTAGACATTAACACCGTTGGATGCAGGCTGGCTCAGTGATCTAATGGTTAGGTGCTCACGCGCGAGGCTGATAGGTCCTGGGTTCGAATCTCGCGAGGGGGCGGGTTCCTGGATGCTCGCTGCTGAGGTGTCTCATACTGAGATGAAAATGCCATCCAGTGCTTCCAGGTTTTCCATGGTGGTTTAGCTTCAATTGACTCATCATTTCAACTATTGAAATAAATAATTGTTTACAAAACTGATTTCCAGTATCATTATTATAAATATACATTAGAATTACATATTCTGTATAGACTTTCATGAAAATAAAAAATTAGCTCAAAATCTTCACAGAACTCCTTCTGATAATTATTTATTTGTATCAGATGGGGTTTTTGTGGATATTATAATAATTTCAATAGTTGAGATTATGAGTTAATTAAAAGTAGACCACAATGGAAATCTGGAAGCATTGGACGACCGTTTCGTTCTATTTCGGGATCCCTCAGTAGTGTGTATCCACGATCCTGCCTTGTAAGATTCGAACCCAAGAACTATCAGTCTCGTGAGCGGTCTAGCTTCAATTGATTCATGACCTTAAATATTGAAATTATTTATTTATAGAAAAAGTATAGTTTATGGAAATTGAAATTTATCAGTATGAAGATAAATATAAACACTATAAGGTCAATGTTAGAATGAGAAAATCACAATACAAAGAAAGCTTATAAATTAAATTAATAATAGATATAGATAGAACTTAGTTATTTGAATAGGAATCAATCTACTACTTATGCGGACAGACATAATGTGTATTTGGTAGGAAATGGTAGTAGAATGTTTACCAGCAGAAGGAATGAAAGCAAGGAGTAATTAAAATAACAATAGGATAGGAAGAATGACGAAGTTAGTAAAGGACAATTAAAAAAGATATAAAAATGCTGTATTTTATACATGATTTTCATATTTTACAAAGCTGTTATGTAATGTTTCACTGGTTTGCCATACTTAAATTCTCGTTCTCCACGACACTTTAACAATTGATACTTAGTCCATTACTGCTGTTACTACTGCTACTAAGGATAATATTAATAATAAGTTATGATCATTAGTCTGTAGTGACCTACTTTTGTCAACAGAACGCGATTGGTTCAGTGAAAACAATTATTATTATAACCAATTGTACCAGTGATTGTTTTACTGTGCTCGTTTGTTTAACCGTGCTAAGGACAGATATTATTCTCCCGTTGACTTTGAACTTGTATGAATTCGGTTAAGCTCAGTAACTACGCTTGTACTCCTTTGGCACGATCTCGGTATTCGTTCGATACCACGAAATCGCCAACAAATACATCTCGACTACAGCCATCATCTGCCTTCTGATATTGGGGATCTTATTGGTTAATTGGCACGTAGTCTTGTAGCGGTGTTCATAATCAAGCACGATTCGACACCACGCTACAAGTCTGTGGTTCTTAACAGATTGACAAGCTCAGTTAAAATTAAAACATCATCAAATATATCCTTAACCGCTAATTTATAACCTTTAGAATTGATGCTATTTTGTTTCCTATCTAACCTCACTGAAATCATTATTGAAAGTGCATAGCACTAATTTAAATAGTTTGTTCTAACAAATTTTAGAGAATGATCAGTATTTTTTTTCTCTCTCACAATTTTGGTACATTGTATTACATAGATAAATCTACAAATGAAGTAAATTTATTCGATAAAAACGCAATAGAATATCTATTGCATACAAAATGTGAAAGAATATTTATTCTCTTTTGTTGGTTTATATTATTTGATTATTCATCCAAAGGTTGTTTCTATTTATAGTTTTGAATATGTCAACTTATAGAAGGAATGTGTGAAAAATTGACGTTTATTCATGTAACACATAAATAGATTAGTCTAATAATATAAACATTTACTTTATATTGACATAATAATCAAAGTATGATAAAATAGACTAAAGTAGTTCATTGATTTGAAAGCTAATTAACTAATTTATTGAAAATTAGTTTTTATTAGAATTCGACATCATCTAGAGGATACACCTTAATTAAAGATGAATGAGATATTGTCTAGAGTCTGCGTTGCGAGTAATTTCATCTAACTAGTCTCGATTTCTGGTCGTTCCACGATAATCACACACAAAGTAATTTAAGTAATGTAATATCAAGAACGTTAAACTTATTGATCATCCAATCCCTAATAAAAGATAATTAGCAGCAAAAGTGCAAGAACTAAGCTGGTTTTAACCCAACTATACTGACATTCATTAACCATGAAGCAGCACTATACTCCACTGACCGGTAGGTTATATGGTATTGTATATCACTGAAAGGTGTGCTAACGGAGCATAACAAATTTTAACTCGTTCTTTATTTGAACACTATTGTTGAGTCAAAGCTTATAGAGAAATATAGTCAGATTTGGTAACATCCACTGATATTCTTTAAGGTTGTCCATTCTCTCCGTCCTTTATTTGACTTGTTATAAGCATTCTTTAAAAGATAACGCCTTCTCCCTTTAACTATTAAAAATTTCGGACTAGAAGTATTACTTGGTAGCTTGAAATATATAAATGATATATTTCTATGTGCTGAAGTCTATAACAAGATTCATAGTCTTCTAATCTCCTTGATCAACAATACAAGGATGTTTGAAATGTGTCTCTTTCGTTGTAAGCGTAAAATGCTTCTCTAGGAATTTTTTCGTCAGTGCCTAAACCGGTTGCAAAGAGGAAAATATTTAGATAGGCCGATCACGCCTCGAATCTTGAAAGTCTCATCAGCCCTAGTGAATTTGCATCTGAAGAAATCTTGACAAGGATTTGGGAAGCTTGATTGGCTTTTACCAACGTACGCCATTTATACAGTAGGTGAGATGTCCATTTGTTAAATGTGATAGAAGTAACGTGAGTATAGATTTCATTAGGAACGCCATTTCTCCTGAGATTCTGGATACGGATTGCTGATGAGTACCAATTGTTACAACCTAGATCATAGTCTTTCTGCAGGCTGCTTCCAACAGTGTAATGGAAAACTATGTGCACCACATCGTTCATTTACAGGAATATGGCCTATCGTACAACCAAAGGAAATATCATTACTCCATGTTTTATGGTCAGTCAGTGTATGCGTAACTATATTAAGTCCATAATTGTTTAAGTTCAGTTCATTTCTAACTCCAACTAAATATATGAAAACCTTACTATGTGATATAAACTGAATTTGTTTGTGGAGCCAGTTAAAATGGACTCTTACAGAATTTGAAAATAAACAATATTCTAGAGAATAGAGAAATATTGTTCGACTTTGGATATTTTATAAGGCTCTTTATAATACTTTACCAAATGGTTTAACATCTGTAATGTTGTTATTGATAGCTAATGAGATTATATAATGCACTATGAAATATAAAGCAACAATCAGAAATCATAATAGATTTTATCACGCTGTTCTCTTAAGTCAACATAGATTTGGAAATTTAAATTATTTGAGGTATTATTTTGAAATACGAAGATACTTTGCAGACGTAAACTAGCGAGAATGTGAGTAAATCTTTACTGTATAATTCCAGAGTTAGTAAATTTACGTTATCTTGTGAGAAACCTAGCTCCAACTTAGAAAATATACTTCTTTTAAATTTTATACGAAACGACCTAAATCACCTATGGATTACTACAATTATATAGATAGATAGATAATCAATCGGGATCATAGTCAATAGAATACGCTGACAGATACATATGTCGTAAATCGAATTGATTACTGTTACCTGAAGTTTGTGTTAATAATATTTTTTAGAAAGATAAACAAAACGTACATTTCAGAAAATGGAACTCCACCAAAAAATCTTTTTTCAAAAAGCATTAAATGTTTATCATCATACAAACAATATTATTTGATTTTATGCCATTGAACGCATTAAATTACTTAATTTGAAAATTCGTTCACGATTAATGAATATTTTGCACATC